TCACCTTTCTCGTAAAATCCAGGAAGGCATTCCTAAGACAAATCGGGTGGCACGAGGCTATGCCCCCAACCCAGGGCTTAGGGTTTAAGAAGCTAAATAAGACGTTGTACCGGGTTTAGTTGCCGTAGTTTTCTTCGGGGATCCTGAACATAGACCAGACCGCCCAGTGTTGCATTCCTAGGGTCTATGCCAGTGCATCCGTATATGCTGACGAAAAGCCTTATAAGCCCTAACCACAAAACCCAAATACTAAACCCCAATATCCTATACTACTATTTGCTTAAGAACCCCCCCCAAAAAAAACAAAATCCCTATATTATCCCTATAAGGAATATATTGTTTTTATTTTTTGAGGGTTCTTAAGCAAATAGTAGTATATCTATGCATCCTCAAACCAGCCCTGAACCCCGGAGCCTGAAATCCGCACGCTCAAAAGCATCTCCAGTAAATGGAGCAGGGTTTAGGTTTCAGGTTCAGGGTTTAGTGGCTTAGGGCATGCACAGCATCCGAAATAGGGTTTGGGGGTTTAGGGTTTAGGGTTTAGGGGTTCAGGTTCAGGGTTTAGTGGTTTACAGTAAACCCCATATAAAGTTGGAAACCGCATTAAGGCCAAATAGTGCTGGGATTCCCTATACATTACTGTTAAGGATTGAGGCGATGGGGTTTCCAAATTTTGGGCTTCTACTGTAGGTTTAGGGGATGCGCCGCATCCGAAATCTTGACACGAAGACTTCCGAGGACACATGGTGCATAGGCTTTTGGCTTTTCCTGAGGCCCAGAATCCTGCTTTTTGGCACCCGTTGGGTTCAAGCTGCAGCAATAAAGAACACTCTTACGAAGGTATAGCGGCATAGTACGATAGAAGTGTGAAGTTTATGCATACTGCCCCTTCTTGCTCGCTATTATGATCATACTGCACTCCACCCAGACACCCCATTCTCCTTACAAAGGACCCCATCGTAGGGTTCGATGGCTTAGCAATGCGCTTTAAACTCGCGGCCCTGAATCCGTGAACACTGTGGCTGAACCGTGAGTCTAGAGTTTAGGGCCTTCCCCAAGGTCCAAGTACCTAATGATCATATACTCTCCAAAAACCCTAACCTACATAGCTACTATCATAATAAAGCCGAGTACCTGATTATTGGGTCCTTTGGACCCTTGGGGTTTGGGCGTCGGGGAGTCCTAAACCCGGGTTTAGGGTTTAGGGGTTTTAGAGGGGTTTAGGGTTTAGGGGTTTTAACGGGGTTAGGGTTTAGGGGTTTAGGGGTTTTAGGGGTTTACGGGTTTCGGGGTTTTAAAGGGGTTTAGGGTTTAGGGTTTAGAAAGCCTACACTTCAAAGTCAACATTGCGGAGGAAGTGCACAGGACGACAAATTCACGAGGCCCGTCGCCGTGGATCCTGGCAGCTTTGGGCAGCGTTATGCCTTAACGTAATATACTACTCTCCCAAACAGAACGCGAAGAACGGATGCGCAGGGGGTTAAGCAAGCTTAGCTTTGGCAGAAGCCGGGCTTGTGAGCTGCGATGGCTTCGGTTCACAAGAAGGACATGCAGCGTAGAAGCTGTATAACTTGGTAATACTATTCCTTGGGGTTCAGTAGTATAGATAATATGTGCGCATACACTATCATGCACGATAAAATTCAAACAAACTAACATATACGATGATCTATGTACTAGAATGTTCACTGGAACCCTCTTCGAAGTCTAAGGGCACTATAATCATAGACAATCTTGTCTTGAACCTACGACCTCTCCGTCACAGAGAGAACGAAAAGCCTAAACATCTAACTATCAGACCCCTATCCCGAATTTAGCTTTAAGGTCTAAGGTTTAGGGTTTACAAAAGGACCTCATAATCTAACCTCTAGACCCTAAGACCGTGAAAACTTCGAGATTCTAAGACACCCTACACCCCTCTAAACGCCTAAACCCTGAAATCTGAACCCTAAACCAGCAACTCTAGACCCTAAACCCTTAACCCTAAGCCCCAAGCCCTAAACACCCTCCGCAGCCGCCTGAACGTGGTGGGCAAGGCTTTGCTTGCGCATTCTCGGCCTGGAAAGGGTGGGCAGGGCTCCTCTTAAACTATACTGAACTTAGAACCCCAGCAACAAATTGTAATTTTAGCTGTTTCTTGGGGATTATAATAACCAAAAATTACAAATTATTTCTAAGTACACCTAAGTAAAGGGGTCTATAGGGATTCCAGGGGTTAGGGTAGGGTTTAGGGTTAGGGTTTTAGGGTTGTAGGCTCTACAACGGTTCTAGGGTGTAGGTTTGGGGGGAAGGGTTTAGGGTCTCGGGTCTAGGGTTTACGGTTTAGCATCTATAAAGGGCTCCCTTTAAAGGGGTCTACAAAGGCTACTATATATATATATATATATATATATATATATATATATATATATAGGGCTCCTGGCTCCTGCTAAAGGGGTCTATAGGGGTTCCAGGGTTTAGCATGTAGGATTCCCTAAACCCCGCTTAGAACCATGATAAAAATGGTATTTGTTAATATTCTCTTGGGTTTTATATGAACGAAAATAAAAAGTAAGTCCTAAGGAGACAGTAGTTATGGGCCTTCGCATCTCGCCTTTAGGGTTCTAGGCCTTAGGGTTTAGGGCTTAGGGGTTTAAAAAGGATCTACTAAGGGTTGTTCTCACTGGCCCAAAGCCCGAGGAAATAAAAGTTGAAACTTTCAGAAACGACTACCTTATAAGAACTCCCAAAAGTTGGACAGTTAAGTTTACAACCAATAGGTGTGAGGGCTTCTACAAGATTTCAGGGCGTAGCGGCCTGCCAAGTCATCTGTAAAAGGGCCAAAAATGGAGAAGAGGGGACCCAAAAAACTGGTAATTAAAGGTTGTAGGGTTGAAGACGAACAGGTAAGGTTTAGGGTTTAGGATTAGGATGGCTAGGATACCCAGTAACCAAGGAATAAAAAGGCCTCTCTTTTTGGTATTGGGTAACTTTATAAGGAACCTAGGACTACAAAAAGGGAATAAGGCTACTACTGGGCATCCTAGATGGATTAGGGACACGAACTTACATACGGTTGTGATGAAATACGATTAGGGTTTAAACCTGCGTAAGTCCGGTAGCTTCAGGGTTTAGGGTTTAGCGGTTTCGGGTTTAGAAGGACTTACAGGTTGAGGGTTTAGGGGTTTAGAGCTTTGAATTTAGAGCGTAAGGCAGGATTTAGATCTAGACCTAGGTGCAGGGGTCTGGGGTCCGGGATTTTAGGGCAGCTTTTTGTCACGAAGACTGTGCAGAGCTCGCACTTCTCGGCTGAGGATCAAGAGTTCTGCGGTGGAGGATCATGAGAACGAAGGCCACTGTGGGAAAATATGTCCTTGCCGCCTCTCCTCCCTCCTCCCCCGCCTTTACCTCCCTTGCGGTAAGACTTGGAGCAATTGGAGTACGTGATAAGAGGCCTCATTACTGATCCTTTCGTGGGAATGTCCCTTCCCCCTTCCTGGGGATGTGCCTCCTCAGTCTGGCCGGAGAGTCGATCCTCATCCGGAGCTTCCTTTTCGGGGTCGCTGGGCAAGCCGAGAGTCGCAGCGCCGCGTGCTTCAGCTTCGGGCCAATGCTGTGAAACTCTCGAAGTTCAATCAAACTTGGATGGGCAGGGGACTCAGTAAGTTGGTTATAAGTAGAGTTTTACGTACCCTAAATGGAGTTACCCCAATTATAACCCTACTTATCACCTACTTACTAAGTCCCCTGCCCTTCCAAGAAGGTCTTCCTGCCTGGTGTTTTCCACGGAAGCATGTTAGGGTTCCTGGTTTACCCTAGGGCTCCTTAGTAGTTCCTTTTTGGGGCTCATATATAGAATCCTGTAAGGTAATCCCAAAAAGGAACTACTAAGGAGCCCCAGGGTAAGCTTTAGCATTCTGGTTTTCGGGCCTGGGGTTCGGGGTTTCGTCTTTCGGCTTCAGGATTTTGGGCTTCGGTTAGGGTGTTTGCTTTACTTGCCTTTCTACTATTTGCTTAAGAAACCACCAAAAAATAAAAATAATAATCCGTATATTACCCCCCATAAGGAATATATATATGTTTTTTTTATTTTTTGGGGGTTCTTAAGCAAATAGTAGCTTTGGTTAGTAGGGAATGGAAGAAGGGTAGTAATAGTAGCTATACTTGTACCCCATTCCTCCATTCCCTACTAACCAAAGGTAAGTATTAGGGTCCCCAATTTTCGGAAACCGCCACATGTTGAAAGCCCGGCCCTGGTCTTAGGGTTTAGGGTTTTGAGGCTTACTTGGAAGGGCAGGGGACTTAGCAAGTAGGTTATAAGTAGAGTTATAAGTACCCTAAATGGAGTTACCCCAATTAACCCTACTTATAACCTACTTGCTAAGTCCCCTGCCCTTCCAAGTAGGGCTTAGGGTTTAGGGCTGAGGGCACGGGCGTTGAAGATACGATCTGACTTAGAAAAGCAATCGTGTGCCAAGTAAACCCTGAGATCCAGGTACACAAATCCCAGAATATAGTGACCCTATTAAGGGTCCTAGAATCCCCGAAAAATAGGATCCTACAAAATTACCTATACGTGTTTTTTTTTTGCGGTGGTTCCTTACCAAAATTGTAGTATGATGGTCCCCAAAGCCCCAGTCTAACTATTAAGGTCCCTATATTACACAGCCCTTGGGGGACTCCTGGCTGTCGAAGCTAATGTAGGGGCCTTCATGATTAGAATAGGGTTTCGGTGTATATTCTACTATACTTCGAACAAGGACCCCCCCCAAAAAAAAAAACAAAACGTAGCATAGGTAATTGGTAAGGCCCCTATAGTAAGGCCAAACTGCGGATGATGCTGAAAGCAGGCGACAGGTTTGGCGGTTTGAGGCCTTCGTCTCACATCAGCTCGCTTCACGTCCCGACTACCTAACCCTAAAGCCAGAACCCCTAGTCCCTAATGAAAACTCCAAGTCCCTAAACCGAAACCCCTAAGACCCCAAACCCCAAAACCTAAACCCCTAAAGCCTTGACGCTTCTCAGGGTCCCACAACGTCCCCATCTCCAGCCGCAGGGCAGTAATGGTTGTCCTTGGCAGCTGCTGATTCGGATGCGGATTCCGGGAGAACTCAGCCTAGGTTTAGGGTTCAGGGTTTAAGGGTTCAAGGTTTCGGGGTGTGAGGTTTATAGAGTTTAGGGTTTGGGACTTGGGGTTATACTAATGGGAAAGGGTTTAGGGTTTAGGAACATCGGAAACTTATGCGACAAGCTAAGAACGGACGAAACCATACTACAACCCTGCAGTATGGTCTAAACGATAAACTCTCCGAACCCAAAACTGGCAAAGACAGGGTTCTTTGCATAGCTGGCAGTCCGTTCCGTTCGGGCCGTACCTGACGGTGGAGGATTTAGGAATCTGCTTGTTTTTACAGGTGTGGGGTTGAGGGGTTTAGTTGCTTTTAGTGGTTTGGGGTTTAGGGTTGTTCAGGGTGCAGGGCTTAGGGGTTTAGGGGGTTTAGGCCTGTTCAAACTTTGGGGTTTGGGGCTTTAGGGCTAGCTTGTTTAGGGTTGAAGGTTCGGGAGTTTAGAGTTTAGGGTTTGGGGCTTACTTCAACTCTTGCAAATGGGCTTTGATGTCGGAAGTCTGGGACGTCCGCTCGGGATGTGCTTAAACCGTGACTAAGTGGCACTGGTGAAAGCGCCAACGACATGAGCGACGACGTAAAGACAACGCGTCCATCCTTTACGCCAGAAATGAACATCACAGAACAGTGGCATGGCGGTGCCAGTGGTAGTGGTGGTGGTGGTGGTGGTGGTGGTAGTGGTGGTGGTGGTGGTCATGATCGTCACATATCGTCACAATGGTCATGATCACTGCCGATCATGATTACGACAGGACCTTGGCTTGCAACACCGCGGCGCCAAGTCTGCAAACCCGAAACCCCCCTAAACTCGAAATCCGAGGGCTAACCATGCACCCCAATGCCTGACCCACCAACAGCGGCTTGCAGAACTAGTGCTAAGATCTCTCGTTTCATATAGTTCCTGAGTGCCGACCTCTACTATACCATCCTACAGATTTTCATGGTCCTAAACTCTATGCCAACACTGGCAACCTGCTCTTGGTCTCAACTTCTCCGGCCCACCTGCCGGCCGGACAGTCGCAAAGCCAAGCTGGAAAATCGTCATGGTCGATCTGAGATGTCCAATGGCTCTGCTGGGCCATGCTTAAAAGGGGGCTGAAGGTTTAGGGGCTGCGATTAAAGCGATCTACACGGTTCCCGTAAGGGGATCTATAGGGTTGCTTCAAATGGATCAGGCGGCTTAGTAGGTAGCTTATAACTTACCAATGCGGTTTGAGGTACCCTGCTTGGGCCTATTCTGACTCATTGCGATAGCTACAGCTTTAGATATAGATATGTCTAGAACAAATTCCCGAAACACATATCCTTAAACCCTAAAACCCTAAACCCTGAATCCTTAAGCCCTAAACCCTCAAACCCTAAGCCCTAAACCCTAAACCCTTAAACCCTAAACCCCAAGACCTTAAACCCTAAACCCCGAATCCCTACACCCTACAACCCTGAACTCGGTCCACTGAGCCGCCAAGTAATAGGGTCTGGAACCTCAAGGCTTGGTCCCACGACTTAAGGATCTCATAAAGGGGCCCGGCTTTACGGTTAAGGGGTATGATTCGGGTTCAGGGTTTAGGGTTTAGGGTTTAGGGTTATGATTAGGGTTCAGGGTTCAGGGTTTAGGGTTATGATTAGGGTTCAGGGTTTATAGGGTTTAGGGTTCAGCATCTGCGGATCGAGCAGTCGCTAGTCAAGATAGCGGTTCTAGAGCTAGAAAAAACAACCGCCCAAAGAACCCCATAACATTATGAACATACACAGTTTACCATCTTCCCTAAGCCCTAGGTCCCAAACGAAACCTTAAACGTACCTCTAACGAATCTATACAGAACCCTAAATGGAACGTTAAACAGCAAGCTGAAAGGAAACATTAACGAAACCTTAACCGGAATTCGCAAACGAACCCTAAACAAAGGCGGCAAACCGAACTCAAATGGTGCCGTAAGCAGTGCTCGACCTGTGCGAGGAGTTTCAGATGCTCGACTTCTGGCAAGGTGAAGCATCCTGCCCCAAAGTTCAGTTCCCAGCCGATCCATGTGATTACTAGGCCGAGTTGAAGCTTCTTCCAGCTCAGTGGGATGCTAAAGAACGTGCAAAAGGCCAGTACAAGCGATGCGCTCAGACCCAGTACCCGCGCATTCTGCCACAACGGAAGGTCGTCCACATCAAGCACAAACATGTGCGAAAGCCATACAAGCAAGTGGAGACACCTTGTGAAGAACCCGCCTCAGCGGGAGAACCAATGTGAAGAGAATGTCGCGGCAAAGGGGCATACCTGATAGAAGAGAAGCCGATCCTGTTGGCGCAGGCCCAATAAGCCGCGATCGCGTTCCCGAACAAGCGAATTCTTATGAGCCCCTTCACATCCAGGCTGAAACACTAAACGGAACCTTAAACTAAACCCATCCTAAACGAACCTCCAAGTAAGCACCTAACCCTCCTGGACCTTAAACCCTAAACCGTCCCCAACCCTAAACCCTGTCATAAGGCGGCTTATCTAGGATACCCAGTAACCTAAGAATAAAAAGGCCTCTCTTTTTGGTATTGGGTAACTTTGTAAGGAACCTAGGACTACAAAAAGGGAATAAGGGTAGTACTGGGCATCCTAGTAGAGGATCCTCGAGTTTTTTCAGTCTTTTCGGGGCCTCAGAAGCACCTTACTTGTCCGGGAACCCAAGGTTAACTAACCTTTACTTGGAGGGGCAGGGGACTTAGTAAGTAGGTTATAAGTAGGGTTATAATTGGGATAACTCCATTTAGGGTACTTATAGCTCTACTTATAACCTACTTACTGAGTCCCCTGCCCTTCCAAGTAAGGTTAGATAGGGAGTACAGTACCCCATGAAGGTTAAAGGTTACCTAGCATAAGGGCCGAAATGATGAGAATAGGGTTCTGGGGCCCACTATAATACCTTTCAGAGACCCCCAGAACAGTATAGGCCCCTATAGACCCTAAACCCTCAACCCCTCAACCCCAAAAGGGCACCGAGGTCGCAGCCCAAATCTCTGTCATGCGCGGAAGGCTGGCGCCCTCCACATTAGCAGATAAGGCCTCACCTCAGATCTCCGGGGGCGTAGGGCGTTGATTTTGATGGGAGGCCAAAAAGGGGGTTTAAGATTCTTGGGGTAGGGACTCCTTAATATGAACCCCATTATGGTAACCCTAATCCGTACTAAACCCCCATGGGCTAAAACCCCTTTTGACCTCCTATGAGATTTGGGATCTAGGGAATAGGGCTGAGGGTTTAGGGGCTCAGCGGTTTAGGGGTTAGGGCCCACAGGATTTAGGGAATAGAAAAAGGCTCCATTAGGGAATCCGTTACGAAGGGTGCTATCAGGGTTCCATAAGAGTTCCATGACATATGCCTCAGCTTCCAAAAGGAGGGACGATCCCAGGAGGGCTCAAGGTTTACCGGAAACTGCCGGACCCTAATCGTTTTTGGTAGGTCCCGGATAGATTCAATCTGGGATTTATAGGACGCACCTACCAAAAATTCGGATATGGTCCTGGAAGTTTAAGGCAGGCTTGGGCTGTCGGGTTCTGTCTAAACCCTAAACCGTTGAGGGTAAAGGAGCATCGGGGCTTTGTGTGCTCACACTAGCGGCCTGAATGAACAGCGTGGGGCTGCTTGAAGGGCTCCTCTAAAAGTGTTACTAGAAGGGTTCTGTGATATAGGGAACTTAACAATGAAAATAAGGCTTTGTATTATAGTATCCCTATAGATCCCTTATAGCAGCCCTTATAGACCCCTTTTACAGGAGCCCTAAACCCCCAAACCTCTAAGCCCCTAAGTTCTGGCCAAGCGTCGTGACATGTCGTGGGAGACAAAGTGGCTGGCACAGAGCTGGCCCTGGAGGCGATTCTACTTGGAAGGGCAGGGGACTTAGTAAGTAACTTAAGTAGAGTTATAAGTACCCTAAATGGAGTTACCCCAATTATAACCCTACTTATAACCTACTTACTAAGTCCCCTGCCCTTCCAAGTAACATCGGGGGCCCAAAGAAAAAGAGTATAGTTTCCTTTAAGCGGTTCCCTTTAAGGGATCTATAGGGGTTACTATGCCCTATAGCAAAAGAAAAAGGTGCAGGGTTTAGGGCTTATAGGGTTTAGGGCTTATAGGGTTTCGGGTTTATAGGGTTTAGGGTTTATAGGGTTTAAGGTTTATAGTGTTTATAGGGTTTATATAGGGTTCATAGGTTTTATAGGGTTTATAGGTTTTATGAGGTTTATAGGGTTTAGGGTTTATAGGGTTTATAGGGTCTATAAGGCTTAGGGCTTATATAGGGTTTAGAGTTTATAGGGTTTATAGGGTCTATCAGGCTTAGGGCTTATAGGGTTTAGGGTTTATAGGGTCGATAGGGTTTATGGGGTTTCTAGGGTGTAGGGCTTACAGGGTTTAGGGTATAGGGGCCTTAATTGAATTAGAACAGGGTTCCTTTGAACGGTTCCTTTGAAAGGGCTTATAAGGGTTACTATAAGGGTGTCGATGCTAACATAGGGGCCTAAATAGTTCCGGAGAGTAAGTAGCCTAAACTATAGTTATAGGGGCCTGAATAAGTAGAATAGGCTTCTGGGGTATAGTATACTAATGCCTGAAGAAACTTTCATAATGTAGGGGCCTTAGTAGTTACAATAGGGTTCCTTTAAACGGTTCCTTTTTAAGGGATTTGAAAGGGTCACTACAAGGGATGGTTGTTAAAAGCGATCTGTAGTAGGGTTCTATATTTAGTAGTTAGAATAAGGTTCCTTTAAAGGGGTCTATAAGGGCTACTATAAGGGATCTATGAGGATGCGATGCTATAGGGGACTTCATAATTAGAACAGGGTTCCTTTAACAGGGTCTTTAAGGGCTACCACAAGGGATCTATGGGGATACTTTAGCATAGGGTCCTTTTACGGGATTTCCTAGGCTTCCTTTACTTACCCGGGTCTATAAGGCCTGCCCGTAATAATTGGAGCTACTTATTTCCCAAATACCTATGGGGGAAACGTTCAAATCTTCGAATAAAACTCTCCTACACAAGCCCCAAAAGTTGAAGAGTTGGGCTTTGGGCCACTAGGCCCAAAACCAAAAACCCTGAATCCTGAACCAAAAGTCCCCTCCCACCTGCTGAATCTTGAACCAAAGCCATACCCGTCCGCCCCGAAACTTAACCCGCAACCCTATGCACATGAAACTGAAGCCCTATATCCGAAACACTAAACCTTAAGACCTAAGCGGGACATTCCAGTTTGGAGTCTATGACAAAACACGCGTCGGTGGATCGTCTTTAGCATTTCTCGTCATTCAGGGCTTTGGGTTTACGGCTTAGGGTCTGAGGCTTGGGATTTCGAAAGGGCTAGGGTACAGAGTTTAGGGTGACGGGTTAAGTATTTAGTGGACTTTGTGGGCTGCAACTCCTGGCTACACTATAAGTACCCGCATTGCGGGGGGGGATTCCGGGGGAATCCGATTCTAAACCCACCTGTATGCTTTTTTAGCATACCCAGCAACCTAAGAATAAAAAGGGCTCTCTTTTTGGTATTCGGTAACTTTTTAAGGAACCTAGGAGTACAAAAAGGGAATAAGGGTACGACTGGGCATCCTAGTTTGTAATAACTAATAAGTCCTTGGACCGATAACGAACCCCTTAAAGCCAAGAAGGAACAGTCCCTAGATTACACACTTACCTTTGGTTCGTAGGGAATGGAAGAATGGTAGTAATAGTAGTTATAATTCTACCCCATTCCTCCTTTCCCTACTAACCAAAGGTAAGCACAGGGAGTCCTCACACCATGATTGCAGGTCTGTGCTGAATCAAGGGCCGAATTCGGAATGAGGTATGGTGCTTTTCGCTTAAATCACAGCATAGGGCACCGATTTGTGCAACAGCGCCGATGATCAGAAATGTTTGGTTCCGATTCTGCCTTAAATTGACCCGAGATGTGGTCAATAGTAGTCTAGATTCTAGATATCTAGTCAAGACATGAGCTATGATGGCAACAATGCAATCAGGCAGACAGGCAAATGACGCAAATGTGCGACTCGCACGCTCTCGCACTCTCTCTCTCTCTCTCTCTCTGTCTCTCTCTCTCTCTCTCGCTCTCTCTCTCTCTCTCTCTCTCTCTCTCTCTCTCTCTCTCTCTCTCTCTCTCTCTCTCTCTATATATATATATACGTATAAACACTTATGTATACATACATATAGAACCATGCATGTGCTGCGTATGCATGGGTGGAGGCAGGCATGCATGCATGCATGCATGCATGCATGCATGTTACACATGCACAAATGCAACACAAGCATCAATGTACACAAATGTACGGATTATGTGGAGCCCGTGCAGAATCTTCGCCCCGTTCAACCCAAAACCCCCTCACATCACCCTGCTAAACCCTAGTCTCTAATGGGTGGGTTCGGCCACCTTATATGGCGAGGGGTGGGAAAGACGGAAGGAAAAATCTTCCATAGGCAAGCTTTCACAGCTCATCGCCATAGTACGATGCACTCGACACAGCCATGTCGCAAGATACTGTCACCTACGCACTGTTCCACGACAAACCCTAAACCCTAGACCCCAAACCCTAAACTTTCCTAAACCCTAAAGCACAGAAGCCTAAACTGGGATTCAGCCAGGGAGATTTCTTAATGGATCCTTTAAGGAACAGGTCTCGAAAGTATGAAAGCATGGCACTCCATAACCGAGAACAGGCCCGAAAACACACATGGGTGGTTGTCAAAATTATGGCCCCTTTTGGGGGCACCTTAAACACTAGATGCGGTAGAATAATAAGGACCCTCAAAGGGGACCCTAATATTGACAACCACCCACATAAGCAAACATGAGGATCCCCAAGGCATGCCTGCTGCGGACTTCTCAGGATGCAGTAGTCCAACTTCGAGAAGATTTTCGAAGCCTTCCTCAGAAGCACGGAGAAGCGTAAGTTTGGAGGTCTAGTCGTCAAACCTGAGCCCCACAAATATGTAGAATAACACCCTTCCATGGGTGCTGGGCCATCATTTTTTGCTGTTCGGGGCTTTGGATTAATTTGGGCTTCAAGTTCAAGGCTTTTAAGTTTAGGGGTGTCGGTGTCGGGCTCACCTAGAGGCCTCAACCTGCCAGGAACAAAAAGTCCTTCGGCCTCTGTGCTGTAGAATTATTATTGAACGGCCCCAGAACCCTCGTCGATTTCTTCACGCAGCTATAAACCCTAGACCCCTTATAAACCCTAAACACCTAAACCTTAAGCCCCTAAACCCCTAAACCCTAAACCCTTAAACCCTAAACCCCTAAACCCTAGAGCACTGCCTTGGGTTGTATGGCATTTTTTTGGGCTTCGTGCATCGGGTTGGGGGCTTAGGGTATTTGTTTAGGGTTTTGGGTTTATCAAAGGGGAAAAGGAGGGACTGATGTCCGATAATAATAATAATAATAAGAGTAATAATAATAATAACACTACTACTACTACTACTACTACTACTACTACTAATAATAATAATAATAGGAGGGACCCTTCATGGGGACCCTTACCCTATAGTGGGCTATATAATGGGTATATAACGGCTACATTCAGGGTAAATACCTAGGGGTCCTCATTAAGGGTCCGTCCTTTTACCCTTGGAGTTCAAGTTTTCTTTTCATGTGCAGTGCCCTTGTCCTTGTGTCCAAGGGTCCCCCGCTGTTACGATGGTTTAGGGTTGAGGGTTTAGAGGACCCAGGGACTTTAGTAAGTAAGGTTAATTATGTAGGTAAGGACACACTCATACCCTGCGGGTATGGCTTCGAGTTGACGGCTTGGGCTTTGGGAATACTAGGCTTTGGGATTTTAAGGACCAAACTAAAACTTACATCTTGACCGTAGATCCAAGCAGGGGTGTGTAGAGTAGCAAGTCCCTGCTTTCCTGCACTTACATCCTGAACCTGAAACAAACACCACCTTGTAAATAGCTATAGAAAGCGTATCCAACTTTTGCAGCTGAACCCCACCTCACAATCCTGCATCCCAGCCTAGCGAGTTTGGGGTTTCAGGGAGTGCGAGATAGTCCGGTCAGTTGGGCTTTCGGGGCTTCCTTCTTCGGACCATTGCCAAAAGTTCAGGAATCAGTCTAGGACAGTTGGACTAGGATACCCAGTAACCTAAGAATAAAAAGGCCTCTCTTTTTGGTATTGGGTAACTTTATAAGGAACCTAGGACTACAAAAAGGGAATAAGGGTACTACTGGGCATCCTAGAATCAGTCTAGGACATTTGTATACAGTCAGGGCATAATTTTTCAACGAGTTGACCAGAAACAAATCTGCCGGGGAAAATGGAGGGCAGACATCGATTGCGGATTCTTCACCCTCGACCCTGAAGCCTAAACTTTGATGTCACGGCTTCATAGCCCTGCCGCCTCAGGACAACCTGCTCTTCAGACTTACGCAGCCGTCGTGGAAACTCCCAGTTGAAGCTCTGAAGATACGGCCCTGATAGCACCCAAACATCCCAAATCCTTAACCTACACCTATAGTCTCCATGGTCGTCCCTTTTTGGGTTAATCATATTTTTAGTATAGGAACCTAACCAGAAAATTAATGAACCAAAAAAGGAACTGCAATGGAGGCTGTAGGTAAACCCCAAACTCTAAACCCTAAACCCCCGACTTGGGCCCAGATACTCTTTTGCCGCATCGATGCCTCAGACGCTGAAGCCTACACAGAGCCGTTACCTCTATTCCCTCGGAAGACAAGCGAACAAGTTGGAGATCCCGAGAAAAGATGCGCCTACCAGAAACCGCAGCAAACTAAACAAGTCCCCAAGAGCGGTACCCTGAGGGTCCATGTATATGTACCCATATAGTATATACTTCGGCCCTAAAATACCTAAATTACTAGGGACTACATTAAGGCCAATGTATGTACTAAAGGAATACATGGACCCTTAGGGCGAGAGCCATATGGTTGGTTTTCCCTCGCGCGCATTTCTGGCGGGGGTGTAGTTTATTGTTGTAGAATTTGTAGAAATACAACACTAGACCTAAGAGTAACCCAGGAATAAAAAGGGTGCCCTTTTTTGGATAAAGGGGATTATAAGGGAACCTAAACCCTTAAAAAGGGAATAAGGGCCTACTCTGGGTCCTAGAACATGGAGCCCGGGGGAGAGCATTGGTGATGTTTGAAGGGGGCGGAATGGGTGGCGGCACTCTAAGCGGCACAAGTATACGGGTTCAAGTCGCCACACCTGCATGTTTAGAACTTAGAATAGGGTTTCGTTTTATACTATACAAATTTGGTAATAAACCATCACGAGGACATCTAAGGTGCTAAAGCCACCAACACCCCTAATCACGCCGACGGACCCTAGGAGTCCTAACCCCTTGAACTTTGTGGTGCAGGATTTTTCGGGGCGTCCGGAAACTAGGGGTTCAGGGATTAGGATGATGTTCTGGTGGGTTTAGGGTTTGGAGTTTAGGGTTTGAAGCTGCCCCCACCCTGTAATAGTGACTATAAGGCTATTATAAGGATTATATTAGGGCCCTATTATATTCCTATTATACCACTACTACAGGTTGGGGGCAGCTTCTAAAGTTTAGGGTTTAGGGTGCCCAGGCCGAGGTGAAAAGCAAAGGGTAGTAATGTCTAACCACGAGAGCTTTAAGCCGAGGCTTGGGTAGCAGTTGCCGTCACTGACATTGGGGGCCCAGGGTACCGAGTACCGCTGCCCAGATCCCCAGGAGGATTTGCAAAGCAGTATGAAGCAGCTCGAATTTCGGGAAAGTTTCAGCCCACGTAAGGCCCTAAATGGAGAGTATTTGCAACAACAAGACCACTCCTGCTGCTTGTATCCACTGCTAGGTGATTCAGGTTACACGAATACTGACTTCAGTATCAAAATAAGTACTGGTGGCAACAACCTGATGTTGTCGACCCTAGAAATCCTAAATCCTAAAAAACCTGGAGCCCAAAACAGTCAACCCTAGAAGTCCTAAACATCTTAAGGGAACCCTTATAGAACCAAATATCGTCGCCCATAAAACCCTAAACCCTACCCTTAGACCTTAAACGAACGCTTATAACACCCTCAACCACCGTCCAACCTGACATCCCTTAGGGCGTCAAAGCAGAGCGGCAATTCCTGTCGGTGACGAGGCGGACAGCCTCGCAACCCTAAGCACTCAATATAGGGGCCTAGTGGCTTGGAGGGTGCGTAAAAGCTTACCCTACGGGTCCATGTACTCCTATAGTACATACGTTGGCCTCAAAGTACTACATTAAGGCCAATGTATGTACTATAGGAGGACATGGACCCTTATAGCCGTCACACGTGCCGGGCCCTCATGGAACCCACCCACTCTAAACCCTCGTCTCGACCTGCCCTGAGCTCCTAAACCTTAACACACTATAAGTACCTTATAAACATTCCTCTTTCTGATTCTGAGGGCCTTAGAAATTAAGAATAGGGCTTTGCGGGCCCTTATACTAAATTTAGTATAAGGAACCCCCAAAAACAGTTTTGGTAATCGTTTAGGCCCCTGCGTTAGAGCTCCTGTGCAAACCTCACCGCTCTGAACCCTCAAACCCCTGCCCTGGACACCTGAACCCCAAACTTTTAGAGACCAGTTCTAGAAACTGTATGGAACCGTCACGATGCAAAACCTATCTAGAACCTTTAAGACGAACCCAACCGTCCTCCAAACAGATACGCACTAACTTCCGTTTGCACGCTTCCGAAATCTTCAGTCACTACCACCTCCAACTCTGAACCAAACTTTCTATGTTTTGCGACGTACGGTCCCGTTTTCACCCCCTCAAACCCTAACCGCACACTCGGCACCCTTAACACTAAACCCGGAACGCTAAAATAAACCTGAAACCCTAAACCCTGAACCCCAAACCGTCAATCCCCAAGCCTTAACCCTATACTTGGAAGGGCAGGGGACTTAGTAAGTAGGTTATAAGTACGGTTATAATTGGGGTAACTCCATTTAGGGTACTTCTAACTCTACTTATAACCTACTTACTAAGTCCCCTGCCCTTCCAAGTATACCCTACAGCCTTGGAAGGAAACGGCTCAGAGCTGCAGGAAATAAAACCACACACGCCGCCATGCCGCAACCCCAGACATTCAGAGGATTTAGGCTTTAGGGTTTAGGGTTTAGGGGATTGGGCTTCAGGGTTTAAATGACCTGAAGTGAATATACTGAATACATCAAGACCCCTCAATCCGCAGAGATCTACAAACTACAAAACCTGAAGCCATCAATCCCAGAGTCTAGGCACCCTCATAAAGTTGATTTATTTCTTCATGAATGTGCATATACTCTCTTCGGTCGGAATAACCAGGCCCAAACAAAGTTCACACTTTTTCAGCTAGACCAAATATATGAAGCCAAAAAGTTTAAAGTTCTCCAATAGGCTAAGTAAGTATAAAATTTGAATACAAACCCGAGACCGCCTGACCACATCAAGTCACCAAGCCTCGCCGTGCAAGATCGGTATGCCCACCCTCGGCAGCTTCAAGGCTTTGGGGTTTAGGGTTTAGGGTTTTGGGTTTAGGGGTTTAGGGTTTAGGGTTTAGGGTTTAGGGTTTTGGGTTTAGGGTTTAGGGTTTAAAGTTTACAGGTTCTGGGGTCTAGGGGTTTAGGGCTTCAAGGGTTTAGGGTTCAGGGCTTCAGGGGTGTAGTCTGTTTGGCTGCAGGCTCTCGAGGCAGACTCTAAAAACCTAAACCCTAACCCTAAATCCCGAAATCCCAAACCCCAATCACTAAAACCCAAAACTTGGATGTGCAGCCGAGCATCACATCTGTGTCCCTCAAGTCCACGACTGTCGGGGTCGAATACCAGCTCTCTCCCATGGATCTCAGCATCGGAACGAAGTTCGGGAGATTTGCGTATATAGGGTTTAGGGAGCTAGGCTTTGGGAGTTTAGGGCTTAGTCGGGGTAATTACAGTTTAGGGGCTCGGGTTTAGGCAGTTCAGGAAGCCTAGGTCCTCTCTACGTTCCTGTAGGAGGTCCATCCGGCTGAACAGCGGTTTAGGGGTTTAGGGTTTAGGGTAAAGCTTCACGAAGCGTCTTTGGCTGTCCATTTTCGTGGGTCAGTAGATAGAAGCTCTGAAAATTGGACTGGGGTTTTGCGTGCAAGACAGGAAGGTATTTCTCCGAAGCCCGATCCTCGAAAAACCTACATCCAAAGCCCTGAAACTCTGAAATCGGAAGCACTAAAGTGCTAAACCTTAGTAAGGCATAGCCAGGTAGATAACTTTCAGCTTCTTGAACGACCTCAGCCCTTGTGAAAGCAGGGAACTTGAACTGATTCCAAGCTGCAGCCAGTAGTGCACAACGGCATTGCTCAGATTGACGAGCCGCATACCTGGCAGTCATAGACCCTAAACCCTTTAAACCCTAAACCCATGAACCCTAAACCCCTAAACCCTAAACCCCTGAACCCTAAACCCCTAAACCCCTAAACCCTAAACCCATGAACCCCTAAACCCTAGACCCATGAACCCTAAACCCCCTACACCGTAAACCCCAAACCCTAAGGCTCCAGGTTGCAGGCTGCTGCAGGGCTGCGAAGCACCGCTAATGAAACCTTATCTAGGATACCCAGTAACCTAAGAATAAAAAGGCCTCTCTTTTTGGTATTGGGTAACGCACATCATGCCGAAAACCACATGCTTCCTCACTTTTACCCCGCGAGTGCGGCACTGGCTCTGTGCATTGCACTTGCTATTTGCATTAATCCACCTCCAATATGGTCCATTCGCCTTCTTCGCGTTCTTGGATGGTGGCATCTTGGATAGTGTCATGGTGGCGTAGCCACATAGCACCTGACCAAACCTCAATGCAACGGAGGCAATAGCAATGATGATGCCCCGGGCGCTTTCGTACACACACCCGGCTTTGGCAAATGATACGTATCTTTCCGCAGCATTCTTCACGTTGACGCTGCTCTCCTCCAAGAACACTTCCCATATCGAAAGGAAGGAAGGGAGCCAAGAGCTTCTTTTCGCTAAGGCAAACCGCTCGAGCACGAGCAAAGCAAGCTGCTTTATAAGGAACCTAGGACTACAAAAAGGGAATAAGGGTACTACTGGGCATCCTAGATTAACAATCTAAACAAGCCCGAAGCTTCAGGATGAGCCGCCAAAAACTCCTTTCAACGGGTTCTAGAAGACTTACTACGAGAATGGGCTAATGTAGGGTAGCTCTTAGAGACTGACTGACACAAGACTTCCTGCCTGTCCGGTGCACTTAAGTAAGCTACTCAGCCCGCCCTCCGTCGGGACTTCCACGGATAGAGTGTGGGACTGCAACATGCAGGCAGTACAACATGAGAAAAAAGGGTATGGGATGTTGCGAAAGGGGAGATGATATGGAGCTGTATGTTTAGGGCTTGAAACTTGAGGGTTTAATTATTGAGGATTTGGCGTTTATGGTTTTAGGGTGTCAGGGGTTGTGGGCTAGGGTTTCCTTGCTTGTCTTTCTCCTGGGGGAATTGCTGCCTATCTTTTGGGACCATATTGTGATTTTAGTACACGAAGAAGGTTAAAAGGCTCCCACGTGTAATTAGTATAACAGGGGATACCTTATTTGCAGGGGCCCTTCCAATCAGATCATATTGTCTAAGGGTTTTCTGCTAGCGCCCCATTCTGACATGCAATCCTGCCGCCAAAGTCCTGCAGCCTACGGCTTTACACTCTTCGCGGAACACGCGGAGTTCAACAACAATCCCTCGACAAAACCCCTGAACCACAGAGTCAACTACTGAGTCATATACCCTCAACTGTAGACTCGATGCCTGGGCCTTGAAGTAACCAACTTGAAACTCTGAACTTTTGGGTCATAATGGTTCCTTTGAGGAGCCGGTCCAAAACAAGAGCAGTAAACCCTAAACCCTAAACCCTAAACCATAAACTGTGGTACTCCAGAACCGAGCTCAATCATGTACCCTCAACCCTCGACCCTATTAGCTGTATCTTGCAGCGAGGTCACTGACTGGGGGCTTGGTCGGCATGGACACGATCTGTGCCAGATCATGAAGCATGGGGTTACGTGGTTTCGAGCCAGGTACCTTACTAGCCCCGGCAAGATGCGACAATCCAAGCCCTGAGCTCTAATCTGTCTAAACCCTACGCCTCCAAAAGACTTATGCTGCACATGGGTGCCCTGAGACACAATCAAGCCAGATCCTAACACAAATGACGGCGGTTCTGGCGTTGGTAAGTTAGCGGCCTTAACGATCAAAATAGGGTTTCGGGGCCCATTATGTTATAATCATACTCAGGAACCCCCAAGATAGTATAGGTAATTATTCAGGCCCCCATATTCATGCAGTCAGACATTTGAGGAAACCAACATGAAGATTCTATGGCTTCAAGGTTTCAGGATTTGGGGATTTGGCAATGGGACCAGATACTGTAGCTGCACGCCTCTCCAGAGTGGCAGTTGAGGTATCGCAGTGGTGTGACCTGAAATGCTCACGAATCAATCCGGACGCGACGGCAAGGGTTTAGGGTTGCAAGGAGTTGAAGCATAGGCGGTTTGGGGTTGAGGGCTTCCGGGATGTAATGGAATAGGGTTCGGAGTTGAGTAGTTGCCTCAGCTAAGCTCTACCTCAAACTCCCATGACCTGCTTTTTTGCAAGTTCTGAGTTTTCTTCCCAAAACCCAAAACCGTAAGGGCCGTGCGACCCAAAGCCCTCAACACCACGTTGTCAAGGCGGGCCTTTCTCCTGCAGCCAACGACTGACGAAGCAAGAGAGCATACCCAGAGACTCCAATATCCCTTAAAAACAGAATAAAGGATAGACCTTAAATTACTGTATAGTAGGGGTTATGATTTAAGGAATATCCCTTAAATTAGGAATATGCCTGATGTAAGGAATATACCTTAATTCAGGGATACGAGAATCTAAACCCTAAACCCTATAGATCCGTTATAGATCCCTGAAAGGAGCCCTTTATAGATCCCTTATAGAACCCCTTAAAGGAACCCCCCTAAACTGTGTACCTTACTTAAGTGATCGTGGAGACCCTGAGGCTGGCTTTTGAGCCCTAGACTATACCCTGAATAACCTACCCGTTTTAGGGTTCCTTATGATGATGTCCTTAGGTTTAGGGTTTAGGGTGAATAACCTACCTTTCTAAGGAATACAAAAGGAAACCATCATAAGGAACCCAAAAAAGGTAGGTTATTCAGGGTTAAGGTAGACCATAACCGCGTTAGAACCATAATTACAACAAAAATTACTACCCTCATGAGCCACAGAAATACAAGGTTAAACTTTCCGCTTCCTAGTAAACTACAAGAACCCAAAAAAGTTTAAAAGGTTTGGTATTGGAGATCGAATAAGAAAATGGGTTTAGTATTCACTTGGGGTTTGTATGAACAAAAATGAAAAACTGTTCCTAAGGAGCCTAGAGGTTTATGAGATTTAGGGTTTCCTACTATTTGCTTAAGAACCCCCCAAAAATAAAAAATATATTCCTTATGGGGGTAATATAGGGATTATTATTTTTATTTTTTGGGTGTTTCTTAAGCGAATAGTAGTTTCATGGCTAGAGTTTAGAGCTGAGGGCTTCTGCGTTCACGGATAAAGGGTCTACAGGTTTAGGGCGTCATGCTAGGAGTATGGGCATTACAGCCCCCCCTCCCCCGACCCCCCTAAGGGTCCCTATGAGTTAGGGTTCTAGGCAGTGCAAGCAGCGGGGCTTTGAAGTAACCGAGAGGAGACAAAGGTATAGACGTCTATTTCACATTGGCTTGTTTAACGAAAAGGTCCCTCCCAACAGAGCAGTAAGTAACACTCGGAACCTGTTCTTGGCAAAGCCCTATGTCTGCAATATGCGGGGCCTTAGGGCTTGGGGCTTATGGTGTAGGGTTCCCTGAAAGGAACCTTAAACCCTGAACCCCAATCCCTATACAAGAAATAGACCTCGAACCCCTCAGCTTTGCCTAAACCCTACACCCCAAGCCCTAAACTCATCCTCGCCCTATTGCAGCTGTGTGGCTTCCAAATAAGCAGGAAAATCAACCGGGTCGCGGTTTTGCAGAGTGACCTTGACTTGTGGAGTCAGGGTTTTGGGGTCTCACGTCTAGGGACTAGGACTGACTTCGGGTTTAACGGTAGCTCAAAATTTAAATTTCTTTGAGGATTCGTTTGAAGGCTGCTTCAATTCAGGGTTCTGCAGGTTCTCTTCGAGGGCTCCTTCAAGGGTTCCTTGGAGGACTCCTTTAAGTGGTTCCTTCCAGGCTTCCTAAAGGCTTAGTTTCAGGGATCCTGAAAGCTTCCTTTGAACATACTTGAATTACGGGCTTTGCTTTTCTAGGATACCCAGTAACCTAAGAATAAAAAGGCCTCTCTTTTGGTATTGGGTAACTTTATAAGGAACCTAGGACTACAGAAAGGGAATAAGGGTACTACTGGGCATCCTAGTTTTAGCTGTGAAGGGTTTGAGGGGGCTTCAAGCTTCGTGTTTGGGACTACGGGTTTTGGGTTTCGTAATTTACAGCGGGACGGCTACAGGAGTTTCAAGATCCGTTTCAAGATCCTGGACTATGTTAGCCGTTAGCCCTTCCATGAGGCGTGCGTTCGCAGAGGCAGACCTCGCCGTTAAAAGCGTTCAAAGGGTTTGGGCGTTTTGGGTTTCTCGTTTCGGGCTTAGGGCTTGCAAGGCTAAGGGCTTGATCGTTGTTGTTCGCGGTGGTGTAGCTTTGGTGTGGCTGCCGCGTCGAATATTGTCTGGCGTCCCTGTTAACCAAGTATTTTGTCGATGGGTGAAGATCTATTCAGCGTCATTGCATGAGGGTCTAGCTGCATGGGAGTTACGACATGTTGAGTTGCGGGAAAACCCTATTTTCTCAAGCGCTGCCCCAGAAACTTGAAGCTTAAACTTGTTGCAGCCATCATGCGATCCCTAGAGGCAGCCGGAAGATGCAGTACCACTAGGATACCCAGTAACCTAAGAATAAAATGGCCTCTCTTTTTGGTATTGGGTAACTTTATAAGGAACCTAGGACTACAAAAAGGGAATAAGGGTACTACTGGGCATCCTAGACCATGTTGCTCCGGATGCTGATCGAAGTTTGAGGTTTAGGAACTCCTACTATTTGCTTAAGAACCCCCCAAAAAATAAAAAATTCTAATCCCTATATTATCCCTATAAGGAATATATTTTTATTTTTGGGGGGTTCTTAAGCAAATAGTAGACTCTCAACATGATCTTCCAGATTGGACAGCTCTTGAAACTGCTGCCCCTGATCCCTAAACCCCTACCGTAGAAGCCAGAAAGTTGGAATATCCTTATCGTACCCCCTTTAAGGTAAATTATAGGGGATCCTACCATGAATCCATATTCCAACTTTCCGGAGTTCCCTGTAATTCTTTAAGCCCGAGCCCTTTTTGGGAATCAAACTCTGAAACCGACAGCCGAACCCAGAAGCCCGAAATCTGAAGCAGTTGCTGACGGCCACAAGCCCTGTAGGAAACCCCAAAAGTTCGAAACCGCATCAAGGACAAATAGTGCTGGGATTCCTCTTCTAGGTGGGGCTTTAGAAGCCTTTGAAAAATATTAGTAGATAAGATCCTCTTAAGCCCAATAAGGGGAAATATAAAATGTCCCAAAGCCCTACCTAGTCTTACATTACTCTTAAGGGTTGAGGCTACTGGGTTTCCAACTTTTGGGTTTCTACTACGCAGGTTTGCTGGAACCGAACCTGCCCTGAATCCTAAACCATGTAAACCGTGCGAATTTACATTCTATCACGACCCAGATTTACTATGATTAAGGAATTGGGTCCCAAACGACCATCCTTCTTATGGTTTTGGGGACCTAGCTCCATGTTGGTAGTTGGCAGCACCTGCAGTAATCCCTACTTAAACCCTAAACCCTAAACCTACTGTTTGCTTAAGAACCCCCAAAAAATAAAAAATCTATTCCTTATGGGGGTAATATAGGGATTATTATTTTTATTTTTTTGGGGGTCTCTTAAGCAAATAGTAGAAACTCAACTGCACTTGCAGCCGCATCACTGACGATGTGGTGCAGATGTTCGATCTGCAGAGAGGCGATGACTTCAAGCGTCTGACTGCCGCGGGCACCGAGTCGACATAGCGGGCCTTGGGGCTTTGGGCTAACCTGACTTTAGGGTTTGTTTAGGGTTTGGGGGTTTAGGGTTCAGGGGTTAGGGTCTAGGGTTTAACCTACCAGAACTTCACTTTCTTCTGCGGGGTCCCTATAAATTCCATACTAGGCTTTGTAATAAGAATCTGCAAGACACTGGGTCATGGTAGTTTAAGACACGGGTTGAGAGATTTGCTTTTTGCATGTTTGTCAACATCCTTGGCATTGTGAACATCATGCAATCAAAACCTACCGCCCTATAAATCCTGAGCCCTAAACCTTGCAAAAACATCTGCTGTTCCCTGCAGCTCGGCCACTGAAATGCCTCCCAGCGTGCCGGTTGTGTAGAAGAAGGCTCCTGGGGGTTTTGTCGGACTTGATGTAGTGGAGATTGAAGAGCTTTTGGGATTGCAGGGTGGAGGGTCTAGGGTGTTCTAAGCCCCAAGCTGTAAACTCTAAATTGCTTAAGCGGTGTTGGTTCAACGGCTTCAAGGCAAGAGGCACATAACCCTGCTCAGCCTTCTGTCATTTGGGGTTGGTGCAATATGCTGCTTTATCTATAGCTGTCAAGCACCAAACCCCAACCATCAAGGATCGCAGACCAACGCCAATAAACCCTAAAGCGTGAAGGTTCCTTTCCAAATGTTGACGACACGGGGACATTCCCAAAATCAATGCCTTCGTTCCTACGTCACAAACCCTGCAATATAAGGGCCTTGACAATTAGAAAAGGTATCTGGGGTAGATTCAGAATATTTGCAACAAGTCGCCCTAAGGCCCTAGGGAATAGTGCTGGTACTGATGTATAAGTGGGTGATAATGGGGTCAGAACAATGCGAGTAGAGTTTTGGGGTATGTATCTCTTTAAATATACAGGGACTACGATGGAATGCGCTGACAGACCTGGATGAGTGGATTGATGGATTGCTGGATGGAAGGATGGATTGGATGCAAGGGGTCTATATGCCCTAAACCCTAAGCCGCAAAACCCAAAGCCCCTAAGCCCTAAACCCTAAGCCCTAAACCCCTGATACCTTATAGAATATAGGGGCTTTTTGGGTTTTTTCGGCCTATTGTAGTATAATTATAATAAGGAACCCCCCAATCAGTATAGGTAATTATTTAGGCCCCTATATTACCGGTCGGTCGGCAGGGACACTGCATAGCCGAGGCGCCGTCAGGAGAGATGGTCATGGTCATGTAGTAGTCCAGGCTCTGAAACCACTCCAGTGGCTTCCTAGTTAAAATATTCCTATATGGGGGTTTCCGAAAATTGGGGGTACCTTAGTTTGGGGTCCTTATAGTAAGATCCTAATATTTAGGGTACTGTATTAGGATCCCCTATTTTCGGAAACTCCCATTGGGCTCAGGGTTTAGGGTCGAGTTCAGGGCTTTGGGTCCGGGGTTTAATTTCTAGAGGTTTGAGTTTAGGGCTGTGGGCTGGGCTTCTGTCTCCGCAAGGGTCAGAAGGAGAACATATTATATAGTATGCACACGGCACACCCCTGATACTCTCTTTGCCTTAGAAGGCAACCAACAGCTGTGTTTCTGAAGGTATTGCAAAAAGAAACAAACACAGATGTCCCCAAGAGCCGTACAGCCTCATGATACCAACACTAAACTCGCCCTAAATCCCTAAAACCTACGCCCAAAATCCAAGAGTCTATGTTAGAAGGGGCCCCCACCCTGTAATAGTGGTAGAATAGGAATATAATAGGGCCCTAATATAATCCTTATAGCCTTATAGTCACTATTGCAGGGTGGGGGCCCTTCTAAAGTCGATGACTCCTGAACAAGAACCCCGCCGAGGCCCCTGGACTCACCGAGTCGGCATGCATAGGGCCCCAAAAAAGCACATAAGCAAACATTAGAGTAGGGATATCCCATATAAATCCCCTTGTAATGAAGCCCAAGAAGGTAGGGACATCCCCATAAAATGCTTATGCTTATGTGCCTTTTGTGTCCCTAAATGCAGTTGCTGCACTCTGAATCAAAGGGGAAAAGGAGGGACCCTTAATGCGGGACCCCTACCCTATACTGGGCTATATAATGGGTAAAAAATAGCTGTATTAAGGGTATATACCTAGGGGTCCTTAGTAAGGGTCCCTCCTTTTACCCTTGGACTGAAGAAAGTGGAATTAATGGAGAGCGGCCTGCCATGGGGCCTGGGTTTTTTGAGTACTGTGTTTCTTGGTTTCATATAGAATTGTACTATGCACGCATGCATTTATTCACAAAAGTGTAACATTATGCAGTACGTATGTGCATGTATATATACGTGAATGGGCAGGCATGTTTGTTCTTACAGATACACATGCACGCAAGCATAAACTCAAAAGCCCGTAAATGTGTTTTTGTATATTTGCACTACCGTGGAATGCTCTACCACCACAATCCACTAAGCTGCTTCAGCTGCTTCCAAGCGAAATGAAAGAATCATTTAAGTAGTTGCCTCATGTATCATTCCAGCTTATTTTAACACGTTAACCTACCACGTTAACACCCGGTAATCTAAGGTGCAGAGCCGACTTGCCGTGTTCTGATCCCTTGATGTCCTGACTCGGTGCTGAAGGTCTGTCTGTTTGCGAGAGTACTACGCAGTTGAGTCTGCACTGTAGTATTTCAGCATGTCAGTACGACTTGCTTCTGTGGCGTCTCAGACCAATCCGCAACCCCAATGACTATCGCAAAACTGTATATTTATATAGCTGCCAGTAGGGGAACACATATTATACACATCTGGTTTTATGGTGTAACTAACGATGCACACAGAAACCCGGGCATGCCTTCGTTAAGTCATACAGGGATACATACACTCACAAGCCTATGCATGCACTGCTTCTGTGTTTGCACTACCATGGTACGCTCTACTGACTCAATACGAAGTGCACGGCAGATACGCCAGCGCTTGTAAGCGAAATGACATGAAGTATTAAACATGAGTAATTACTTCATACATCGTTCCAGCGTATTCTACAACTTTAACACCCGGTACCTCGGGGGCAGAACCGACTTTCCGTGTTCTGATTCCCCTATGTCTTGACTCGTTGAAGGCTGTGGCGTGTGAGTACTCAGTTCAATGTTTATTGCAATATCTCAAAACAGCCGCAATGACTTGCTATAATGGGCCCCACAACAACGCACAGCTAATGTGACCGTGTCAAGACGGTATTTCTGCAAATCGGCGAAAACATATACACTGTACACGTGTGCTTTGTCTCTTGTGCAGTGCCATAACATATCCTGTCATAGATTGTATCAGGCTTCTACAATATCTCTAAGTTGCCAGGTTAAGAGGTCGGTGGCATCATCCATGCTGAGACCAGTATGTATATGAATGTACAGATGGATGGGTAGACAAATAGATAGGTGGATAGATACATGGATAGGCAGATAGATAGATGGAATATGGTCAGATAACTTATCTACATGTGCGTCTGCAATATTTGTGTGTATAGAAAGGCAAAGCCCGTCCACGTGTAGAAAGGACTTTCTAGCACCTGGTATCTATTCTATGACATGGTGTGGCAGTATATGACCACGTGTTCAAGAGATAAGTCTCCACGATTCCTTATGGTCGAGGCCCATCTGGATGCCTTCCATCCTCGCGATTCCCCTTGATATATCCCTATGGTTTACATGGTGCTTGGTCCATTGAATTCTTAGCACACACCATGAAACCGGAAATAATAACAAATTCAGGTCGTGTGGTATGCTAGATAAGCTTGGCATGTTCTTCCATATCAAACATGCAACAGGTCAGGATATCAAATTTACGGTAATGTTTGTGCAATTGGTGTGGGTTCTCGTGTTCTCCGTCTTGGTTGGTGTCTGGCGCACGCGTGGGTGGGGTTAGAATAGCTACTCATACGGCCCCCGAGTGCCTGTAAACAACAGGATATTGCTTATAAGCAGAAGCAGGGCCAATAAGCAGAAGGCCGCAACCGGCCTGCTTGTAAGCAGACAGCCTGCTTATAAGCAGCCGGATTGCTTATAAGCAGACAGCCTGCTTCTAAGCAGCCGGATTGCTTATAAGCAGAAAGCCTGCGTGGAATCATAAGCAGCCGGACTGCTTATAAGCATCACATAAGATAGATTAGAGAGTAGTCTTGTTTACGTAGACCCTACACCCAAAAGAACAGCCACAGCGGAAGGTTGTCCGGGCACGTCAGCGGTGGCGGAAACCAAAAAAAACAAAAAAAACAAACAAACCAAAAAAAACAAAGATTTCCGCACTAGTCTGAAGGATTCCGACTAGTGCGGAAATGTTGTTTTGGTTGTTGTTTTGTTTTTTTTTGTTTGTTTGTTTTTTTTGTTTTTTTTGGTTTTGCTGAAGGTTTAGGGTGTAAGGTGTAAGGCTTGTGCTTATAACTACGGCTTGCAGGACTTCCAGGGGTCCAGAGGGCCTTCCGAAGCATGCAAAGCAACCCCGAACGACAAGCACCGAACAACAAGTAGCGCAAAAAGTGCAAAACACTGGGTATGCAAAAACCCAGGCCCCATGGCAGTCCCTTCTGAATTAATAAGTGCAATAGGCTTCCTTCAAGGCTTCTTCCGTAAACCCTAGCGAATGAAAACAGACGAAACAGCCGGGGCTCAGCTGCAACTCCGCAGGAAGCGTCCTTGCAGACATTGCTAATGCAGGGGTATTAATAAGTTCAATGCGGTTGCTTTGACAGGATTTCCTAGGGATTGAAGGGGCCATGATTAAGGGTTCTATAGTATAGGGGCCTTAATAATTAGAATCGGTTTTGGGGCCCATTATACTAGAATTATAATAGGGAATCCCCAAAATAGTATTTCCAATTATTGAGGCCCCTACATTTGCTCTTTCGGGCCTTCTGGGTACCGTCATGAAAACTTAAACCTTACACCCTGAACCCATAACCCCTCACCGCCCCCTAACACCTAGACCCGGAAACGATGATGGGAGGCCAAAAGGGGGGTTTAAGACTCTTGGGGTAGGGCTTCCTTAATATGAACCCTACAATGGGGAACCCTACTCCCTACTAAACCCCCATAGGCTAAAACCCCTTTTGGCCTCTTATGAAACGAGAAAGTTGGCTGGAAAAGGCTCTATATTGTCAGCCCTGCTCTGCTTTCTGTGCTGTACTACTCCGTTGCTTTAGTAAATTGTTCTGATGATGAGAAATGATTCGTATAGCAATGCAGTACGAAGAAATGCAACTTGCGGCCACTACGTAGCATTGCTGGTGGCAGCAGCAGCTGCTGTTTGTAGTCGTGGTTGTGTCAGTCGTGCTTTGACCTCTGCTGTTGCCTTCTTGAAGGTGCTTCTTTTCGGCTCAACGATGCTGTTAGCCGGCTTGCGTGCAGCACGGACAGGCCATTAAGCCAAAGTGTGCCGTTAGTAGTTTTCCGTTGGCAGACCTCGATCCTTTGTGCTGAAATCCGTTCAACCATTAAACTACCAGTACCTACTTTTGTAAAGGTTAGGCTTGTAAACCCCAATATGCAATTCACAGGGAACCTACCCAACAAAAACAGGTTCCGGTGGTACTGAAATATTGTTTAGGGCAAGCGTTTCGGGTAGGCAAACCCTACAAGCTACACTCTAAACTCTAAACCCTAATATCTCAACTCTAATACCTAAACCCTAAACCCTCAGGAAACTCAGGCTTCGGGGTCGTGGGTCGACAGCCCAAGTGGCAAGTCCCACACAGCAAGGGCGCCGTTGATGGAGCTGGAAGCCAGCTTTGTAGAGTTCTGCCGGGCGGTTAAGGTTTTGGGGCTTAGGGCTTGGAGGTTACGCCGCAACGGAGTGAACCCTGAAACCTCTGAGTAACTCTCGGACCAAAGCCGAAACCCCAAAGCCTCGTGCAGTTGACGGACTTCTCAAAGAACCAAATGTTGAAGCTCCGGTATCTAGCTGCTCTAGCTGCAGAGTCTTTTCTCGACGAGAAAGTTTTCTATCAACAAAGCCTAGTTTCAGGTACGAACTCGGTCGATATCCAAAGCCTTCAGCCCTTCATCCTGCTAACTTTCCGGCTTGGGGCTTTCCTAGACCCCCAACTACCCCCTACTATACCAAAAGAAATTACCCAACATTAAGGGCCATAAGGACTCTATGAACGGGCCCTTAGGGGGGGTCTTAGTTAAGCGTTTAGTTTATAAGTTTAGGGTTTCAATGCTTCGGCTCCGACGGGTCTTTAAGTTTCACGGCTTTAGTCGTTTAGGGCGTGATACAGGGGCCTTGGGGATGTCCTATAGGGTTCCGTTAAAGGGGCTATGATTAAGGGTTCTATAGTGTAGGGGCCTCATTGACTAGAAGTGGGTTTAGGTAGATTATTATATATGAAATATGAGAAGGAACCCGAAAAATGACGTTGGTAGGTACTCCGAGGCCTTACAGTTATCCTCAACCTCGATCGCCGAACACACGGAAACACGGCAGTCCCTAAAGACCTCAACCCTAAACCCTACACCCTAAAGCAAGCAGTCCCGGTAGAGCTGCAGGCTCAGCACGCCGCGAGGTTCCATGCCTCTCAGCAAGACGTTACGAAGATGAAGCCTATGGTGGCTTCGGGTTTAGGGAATCGGGGATCAGGTTTGTTGTCAGCATGAGTATTAGTACATTCGATTTTGGAGATGCTGTTATGCTTGTGAGTGCCGATGTGCATCTTCATTGCAGTAAGTTTGATATCTATGCTATGGCTACCATGACTACCACCTTAGCACCACTCTCACATGTGCGATCCTACTGGTTCCTAGCAGTACTGTAGTTGGGATTGAAGTTGTTGGTGACGCAGCCGTTCTCTGAAACCAAATCGCTGGTAGAGTCAGTAGAGTCAGTAGAGTCGATATGGGGGCTGTTCTAAATTATGGTCCCTTTTTGGGTACCCTATATAATAAGGACTATACTACTATGTGCCATGGACCTTTATGTATAGTTTGAGTCAGCCTTTGGTCGACTGAATGGGTAAGGCTTCGGCAGTTTGACATGCCGCTGCAACATGTAGTGACATAGTGTTTGGCTTCGTGTGCACCCGAAATGAGCGCCTTGCCGCAATCTAAAGTTGTCCGGGCCACAGGCCACAACATGACATCTTAACTGAAAAATCTTCTTCGATATATGTACAAGTAGAATAAGCCCCTAATCGATTGAATGGACACGGCCTTAGTCAGGCAGCTTGATCGGTGGGCGTTGCCTTTAGTGAAAAGAAGATAAGAGAATGTAGTGTAGAGAGCAAAGCGAAAGGAACGGAGCATGATTCCTTTATTCAAATTCGCGACGCCACCGCCCACAACTCACAGCCAGGCACGAATCACATCAGGAGTTAGTTCACTTGGCTTCCTGGCAGTTAAATTATAAAACTATGAAGACAATCAGAGAAGTCAAATCATTTGTAGTTTAAGATAAGGAAACCGAATGAAATCATGCTTTGACTGTAAATGTACGGGGCTTTGTGATGAACGAAATAGTGACCAAGAAAACTAACCACAGATCCACCATCCGAGTTCCAGCCGTGAAACAAGTCCAAGTCAACACAATGAAGTCAGTCTTTTGTTTAGTTTGTTTTAGTTAATGCAAAGAAGTGAAAATAGAAAGTATGCGCGATTAAGACAAAAACAGACAACATAGGAACGACATCACCCTTTACCAACAGTTATTTGTTTTCTATAATCTTTTCCGTCTTGGAGATGTGGTGATTGTGGAATGGAATGAAATGAGAGCGTGTTTGTTGCTCTCTTCAGTTCACGCACCACACATTCTGGAGACTTATATTGTAGGCTTAGATCTCTCTTTAAATGGGATCTTCTAATGATTCTAATGACAATATGACATCGAATCTTCTGACAACTTTTCTCTTGTAGGATCATGCCACGTGGCTGTAATTAAAAGAGCTAGATATAACAGGAAGAAAAGCGTGTTTCCTTACCTTTTATTCACATTAAATTGGGCTCTTTATGAACGAAACAAGGAACCCACAAGATATGAGAATGTTGCGTGTCTCATCTTATTGCAGCAAAGAGAAGCGAATAACGATTGCATGTTCCGTTGATTCAAAAAGATACAACACAATACGAACGGAACCAGAAACCAAGTCATTAATTTCCAAGGTGTCTGACGGTTTGTGTCCTACGATCAAAGCCCAAGTCAACCAACAGAAGTTTTCTGTCCATGAAGAGGCAATTTTGGTTTCATTTGTTTCAATTAAGTAACAGGTAGGTGACAGAAGGACCGCGGTCTTTTTCATTGAACAAAATGTGTTCTTTATTCCCACAAAGCCAAGGTAACGAGTGAAAGGTGGAACAGTAAGAAGGAACGATGTGCCTGCTTAAATGAAACAAAGACAATGAAGCGGAGCAAAAACTTGCTTTATTTCAGTTGAATGCGGCACACGTTTTCATCCTTTGTTTCACCGCACAAGACACACCACAATTAAACCCAACAACAAAATGTCAGCAGGCGATCTCACGGTTTCGTTCATCATTGTTTTGCGTAATTTAAACATAAAGAAGGAACTGATGCATGGTTTATGTCTATTAAGCGAAGCACAAAGAAAACGAAAACATGAGCCGACATGGAGGTGCCATCAGAATCCCTTTATAAGAAATTGGGATTCATGAGCCTATTGTCCCTGGCGAACCACAAATCAAGGGTTAACCGATGATGAGTGAAAGATGAGAAGTGAATGGTGTGCATGGATGAATGACAGAAGGAACGCATGCTTTTCGCTTATTAAAACTAACATCATACATGCACGACTCATGACACAGAAGAATGATCCAGATGAAGCCCTTGTATGCATGGTGCTGGCAAAGCAGGCATTTCCTTGATTTGATTTGTTTTCGCTTTAGTTCAAGAAAGCCCACCAAGTCTCAACAAAGGACACATCACAAGATAGGAAATTTCATGAAGAGATCGAGTTAGATGAAAGAAGTCTTTCACCATTAACATCCTCAATTCCCTGTGATATAACCCTATCATTAGTTTCCTGGTCATTCTGTTCTCGCAAGAAATGACATGAAGGGTGTGAAAGGAACCGTGCGTTCCGTGCGCTTATTCCTCTCCCTTGCATGTCATATCTTGGTCTAACCGTTCATTCTGTTCCTTCTTTCGTTCCTTTCTTGTTCGGGTCAGTACCGTCGAAAGGAATGGAAGCGTGAATGAGCCAAGCACAAAAGGAACGAAAACAGGAACTGAACGGAAACAGCAATCGTAGTTGTAGGAAAGGAAAAAGGATGTAAGCCTAAAATATGTTAGCTTTGATTTCTGCTCATTTACCTTCATTATTTTCACTTTCTACTTTGCCTTTTATGACCTTCATGCTGTCTCCTCTTTGATTACATTACCAGCACATAAAACAGAAAAGGGAAAGATAATTAGAATGAAGAGCCGGGAAGATAATTAGACTGAAGAATCCAATACTTGTTTTTCCTTTGTGCTTTAATATGAAACGAAATGAATGAAGCGTAAGAGACGCACGGCTTGCACTTCGTTTCATAATTGCAGACAACGAAATGAAACAAGAGCCACAAAACCCAGCTTTAAATGAATTAAACCATGCCTTCGTTTCTCTATGTTACCTTCAATTCAATTACATTGGCTCTTTTGGGTTCCGTTCATTCTTCACTCCATTTTATCATAATAAGAGAATAACAAAGTGAGGCGAATGAAGAAACACAAACGAAGTGTATGTTTTGATCATCTCGCTTGGCCTTGCTACGAATGTAATCAGGCACAAGGTTGACCGTGGACTCGCGAGTCATTCTCTGAGTTTAACCGCCAGTCACGGTACATCCAACATTCCGTTTTCCTCACATCTTTTTCCAAGCTCACTGCCAAGCATGGATCCCACAAGCTTTAATTAAACCTAATGCGACAATATGGCAATGAAATGTAAGCGCGCCTTTTGTTGTGTTGGTTTTCATTTGCTCTTTCGGGTTGTGCATTTCATTGTAAAGGGAAAAGTTGCAAGAAAACACCAACAAGACCCAAACTAGCATAATGAAACGAAGCAAAAGGCGCGCATCCTTTACCATTCTGTTCCTTGCATTACACTAGTTTGTCCTTTTGGGGTTCGCTTCGCTCCACATCCTACATTGACTGGCTTTCCTGTAATCAAAGGTGGTGTAGTTTAAAGTGAACGAAGACAATGTAGCATAAGAGAAAGCGTGCTTCGTTCATCGTGAAACGCACCACGGGGTGAACGAGACAAACGAATCAAACTCTCATGTACTGAAACAGAGGAAAACGTGCGTTCCTTACATTCTCTTCATTTCGTTAGTTTAGCATGGGTATTTTGGTTCCCTTCACTTCCCACCTTACACTAAAATGGGTATTTTGGTTCCCTTCACTTCCCACCTTACACTAAAATGAGTTTATAATGCTGGAAGTACAACTGGAATCTAATGGCATCTTTATAGGTAATCTATAGTGGTATCTTCTAAGTTTATATGAATGAAGACAGACGCAAAAGAGCCAGATTTAGTCAATGAAAGATCAACTCGCGCATGCTTACTTTTTGTAATCAGGGCTTTTGCAGTCAACGGTCCAATTCCTGGCGTGTTACTCGTTGAGACCGTGTTTCGTTCATGCGTTCGTTCACTTGTTTCTCCCTGACACTTCGTTCCTTGAAAATCAGGAACGAACTCATTCACTTCATCTCACCCTTCACTCAGAATTGTTTCCCTGTTGTTTCATGCGCTAAACGATAATGAGGTGAATGCAAAAGAGCGAACGCACGCTTTCTGGAGATCTGGAACTCGTTTCAAAACCTCTGTGAGTTTGGTCTCTGGGAAACTGGAATTCTTTTTAAATTTTTTAAATTTTTAGAATTTTTGAAATTTTTAAAATTTTGAAAAATTTGGCCTTTGGGGGTCTGGAATTCTTTTTAAATTTTTTAAATTTTTAAAATTTTTGAAATTTTTAAAATTTTTAAAAATTTGGCCTTTGGGGGTCTGGAATTCTTTTTAAATTTTTAAAATTTTTAAAATTTTTAAAATTTTTGAAATTTTTAAAATTTTTAAAAATTTTTAAAATTTTTAAAATTTTTAAAATTTTTGAAATTTTTAAAATTTTTAAAAATTTGGCCTTTGGGGGTCTGGAATTCTTTTTAAATTTTTAAAATTTTTAAAATTTTTAAAATTTTTGAAATTTTTAAAATTTTTAAAAATTTGGCCTTTGGGGGTCTGGAATTCTTTTTAAATTTTTGAAATTTTTAAAATTTTTGAAATTTTTAAAATTTTTAAAAGTTTGGCCTTTGGGGGTCTGGAATTCTTTTTAAACTTTTAAAATTTTTAAAATTTTTAAAATTTTTGAAAATTTGGCCTTTGGGGGTCTGGAATTCTTTTTAAATTTTTACAATTTTTAAAATTTTTGAAAATTTTGCAATTTTTAAAAATTTGGCCTTTGGGGGTCTGGAATTCTTTTAAAATTTTTAAAACTTTTAAAATTTTTAAAATTTTTGAAATTTTTAAAATTTTAAAAATTTAAAAAGAATTCCAGACCCCCAAAAGCCAAATTTTTAAAAATTTTAAAAATTTCAAAAATTTTAAAAATTTTAAAAATTTTAAAAATTTTAAAAATTTAAAAAGAATTCCAGACCCCCAAAGGCCAAATTTTTAAAAATTTTAAAAATTTCAAAAATTTTAAAAATTTTAAAAATTTTAAAAGTTTAAAAAGAATTCCAGACCCCCAAAGGCCAAACTTTTAAAAATTTTAAAAATTTTAAAAATTTTAAAAATTTAAAAAGAATTCCAGACCCCCAAAGGCCAAATTTTTAAAAATTTTAAAAATTTCAAAAATTTTAAAAATTTTAAAAACTTAAAAAGAATTCCAGACCCCCAAAGGCCAAATTTTTAAAAATTTTAAAAATTTCAAAAATTTTAAAAATTTTAAAAATTTAAAAAGAATTCCAGACCCCCAAAGGCCAAATTTTTAAAAATTTTAAAAATTTCAAAAATTTCAACAATTTTAAAAATTTAAAAAGAATTCCAGACCCCCAGAGACCAAACTCACACTGCCCACAGAGCCTGCCCTTTAACTGCTCATACTAGAAGAAGCAGTTACTCAAATAGCGCAGAGAGGTCCTACGCACATACTACTATAGGCCCCAAAAAGGGACCATAAATTAGAACAACCCGCATATGCGGACCTTCATCATCAGAACAGGGTTCGGAGGTAGTTGGCCGTGGAATTTCCGCAGGTGCCGGTGAGGGTTAGCTGGATCTTCACTAGGTGGGGCTTTTAGAGCCTTTCGAAAATATTAGTAAATAAGATCCTCTTAAGCCCAATAAGGGAAAAATATAAAATGTCCCAAAGCCCTACCTAGTTCGACAACCAAGAAAGTATGGATGAGTGCTCGACACCAACTAAGCTGCGCTTGTAGAAGCATTCTCGTCATCGGAAAAGAGAAACCAACATGTAAACATGATAACCACTGAACAACCTAAGGTAAAAGCCAGGAAGTTGGAATATGATTACCCTAACCTTTCTATGGTACATTATAGGGTATCCTACCCTGAAACCATATTCCAACTTTCTGGAGTTCCCTGTAGACGACCAGAAGACGAACACTAAGCCCTGGCCCTGAACCCTAGCCAATCCAAGGCCTAAACCCCAGGGCCCAAGCCCCAAACCATGAGCTTAGGAGCCTACTTGGAGGGGCAGGGGACTTAGTAAGTAAGGTTATAAGTAGGGTTATAATTGGGGTAACTCCATTTAGGGTACTTGTAACTCTACTTATAACCTACTTACTAAGTCCCGTGCCCTTCCAAGTAAGGTACCCCGTGGAACCTGGGACATCAACGCAGGTGATGTTCCCGGGCTCGTGTCCCAGAAATTGAGATTTGCAGATCCTCGCCGTGCAGAGGGTCGACAGGGGTTAAGTATAGGAGCCTGAAGAACTACTTGTACCATTCTTTTGGGTTCCTTGTTTAAACTATACTCTAATATGCCCCAACACCCTCTTCTAACTGTTCAGACACCCATGGTACTTGGAAGGGCAGGGGACTTGGTAAGTATGTTATAAGAAGAGTTATAAGTACCATAAATTGGAGTTACCACAATTATAACCCTAGTTATAACCTACTTACTAAGTCCCCTGCCCTTCCAAGCAGACACCCATGGTAAGGTGTGGGGTTTGAGCTGAAAGATTGGGGTTCGTTGTTTTCCGGGATGAAACGTAAACCGAAGTACACGGATGGCCAGGAATCGCATCTCGGATCTAGGCCTACAGCCAGGGACCATCTCAGAAGATCAGAGTCGTGAACTTTGCAGTGCATGTCTTCTTGCTTAAAGCAAAACGATGTTGACCCTCAGGTGCCTAGCAGAAACGGCTGTGCATGCACATCAGTCCTGCCATTGTCGCCACCACTGAAGACCTCGCCGCAGAATAAATCCCAAACCCTAAATACACCCTAAACCCGAAGCCCCGAACATCCCTAAACCCTAAACCCTAAACCCGAAGCCCCGAACATCCCTAAACCCTACACACGACGCCTAACATTAGGGGACAGAGGGGTGCAGCGAAACTCAGACTAGGGTTCGGACGTCCAGCTCCACTACGAAAGGCTTCTCTGCGGCAGTTCCAATTGAAACTATACTGAACTTAGAACCCTAGCAAAACTTATAATTTTAGCTGTTTCTTAGGGATTTGAATAAGCAAAAAAATAAAAGCTATTTCTAAGTACCCCTAAGTCAAGTTTTTGGTGACGGCGCCTGTACGCGCCTATGCGTTTTTGCATGTTTCAGGGTATTGGGGTGGGGGGGGTGGGGGAGGGGGTGGGGGGGGGGATGGCGAGGGGGGGGAGGGATAAGAACGTCATTCATATTGCGCCCATGCGCAAAATACCGGTATTTGCAGCGTTTTCGCCTCTTTGTACAACCAAACATAAACCCAATCCTGAACCCTGTGTCTGACCTAAGACCTAGGACAAGTCGATACGTTAAGCAAAAAACTCTCTCTCAAATAAAGTTTTGTTCTGCAGCCTCTTCAAAAATGAGCTTAAAACCCGAGCGAAAACGCAGTTAGGCCCAAAGTTTACTCCAGCCTCTAGTGTTTCAGGCACCTGCCTGAACCATAATTTTCTGTGAGATTGCGCTCTCGCTGTGGTTTCGCGCGCATCCATGCAAAACGCCTCATTCTGAAATTCCTAAAAACGCATAGGCGCGTACAGGCCCTGTCACCAAGTTTTTGAGGCTGACGGGCTTAGGGACCAAACAAGCTCTTAGCTTCGAAACCTCTGACACGTCACAGTTGGGAACCTGCCCGCCGCTTGAGAGCATATCACAAAACAGGGGGTCGGGGGGGGGTTAGGGTTGGGGCTTAGGGTTTAGGGCTTTTTACGGTTGGGGCTTAGGGTTTAGGGCTTTTTACGGTTGGGGCTTAGGGTTTAGGGCTTTGGGTTTAGGGTTTAGGGGGTGGGCTCCCCGCCCCGGTGATCAGAGAATGCACCACAGCAATGACATCTGTTGGGGCTTTGAAAATACCAGTTATTCTTCGTTTAGCCGTCGAAATTGATGCTGTGCTGCGTGCAGCCTAGTTAACGGAATGCTAAACCCGGAATACTGATCCCGATCAGCAGTGTCTCAATCCCAAAATCCTATTTCATGATCTTAAAGCCTGTTCCTAAAACCCCTGAACCTCCAAACAAAACCGCCGATGCAACTGTGGGGGCCTTGAAGTAACCAAGAAGACCCAAGTGAGTGGTTGTTAAAATTATGGTCCCTTTTGGGGCCCCTAATATACTACGGCACCTATTATTTAGGGGACCCAAAAAGGGACCCCCATTTTGACAGCTGCCCAAGTGTGGACCTCTGTTTCAGAACGCCACTTGGAGGTTCATGGGACTTAGTAAGTACAGTTATAGGTACCCTAATTGAGATTATGAGTACATATAAGTGTAGCTACCTTAATTATAACCCTAGTTACTAAGTCCCATGAACCTCTAAGCACAATGGCTTCTTTCAGGAACAAATCAAACAGGGGAAGGGCAACAAAGTCTGGGTCTCCAGAACCCTAAACCCTAAAACCACAAAAAAAACACAAAAAAACCGGAACCCCAAACCCTACAAACCTAAACCCTAAACCCCAAAAAACCCCAAACCCTAAACCAGAAAACAAAAAAAAGCTGAACCCCAGCCTCCGAAGCACTGGGCATGGCCCGAAGGACATTGATTCGACCACCGGGGAATTGGCAACGCACGGCCTCTTTTCCAAGAGCAGCGTGTTTAGGGTTTTCGGGGTTTAAGCTAAACCCTACTCGTCTGCCTGAATGTCCGACCGCATGGAGTCCTCCTGGAGGCGACTAGACAGGGAGGCTGTTGGGTGGATGGCTTCCCCGACCGCCGGCGGGATCCAAAAAGAAGAGCCCTTCAGGGGGGTGCCTATAAAATACCCGAACTTCTACGTAAAAATTGGTTAGGGTCCCAAGTTCGGGGTTCTACTTTCTAGACCTTGCCCTACACCCCCAAACGCTCAAGCCCTAAACCCTCAACCCAGAACCCCAAAACCCACAAACCCTAAATTTATAGTGAGTTACAGGATTTAAAGAGAGCTGTAGGGCCGTACTTGGAGGGGCAGGGGACAGTAAGTAGGTTATAACAGTTATAAGTAGAGTTATAATTGGGGTAACTCCATTTAGGGTACTTTATAACTCTACTTACAACCTACTTACTAAGTCCCTAAACCCTAAACCCCATAGATCCCTTTTAAGGAACCCTATAGATCCCTTTAAAGAGCCCTTTAAGAGCCCTTACTAAGTCTCCTGCCCTTCCAAAGTCAGGGTTCCATCGAGTTTCGGTCTGAGGCTCGAGGGCTTTGATGTTCTGAGGTTCAGAGTTGATTGCTTTATATAATTGGTTACGGTTTAGGGTTTAGGGTTTAGGGTTTAGGGTTTAGGGTTTAGGGTTTAGGGTTTAGGGTTTAGGGCAATCAAATCTGAACCTCACGTGTCCAAGTACCTAAAGATCATACACTCTCCAAAATCCTAAGCTACATAACTACTATCCTAAATAATAAGGGTTCCTTTAAAGGGATCTATATAAGGAATCTATGAGTACCTCATTATTGGGTCTTGGGGTAGTTGGTTTAGGGTTTAAAGTTGGGCTGGCGGTCTCTTTGCTCGCCTTCCAGTGTCGGCTCCCAACGGGGCTTTACGGTTTAAGGCGTGTGGCTTCCATGTCCAGGGTCTTGGGTTCAGGGTTTCAGGGGGTTGTAGCCTAAATCCTGAACAGCTAAGCTACACCTAAACCCTAAACCCTGCTTACCAAACCTTGCGAACCCCCGCTTCGGGCTTCGGGGGGGAGAGTGGGGCTTCTCTTGGGTGTTTATAGTCAAAGGGGAGAAGGAGGGACCCTTAATGGGGACCCCCACCCTATAATGGGCTATATAATGGCTATATAATGGCTAGATTAAGGGTAGATACCTAGGGGTCCTTATTAAGGGTCCCGCCTTTTGCCCTTGGATATAGGGCTTCGGTACCTCTGTAGGGCTTAGGGGCTTAGGGTGTAGTCTTTAAGGTAAAAGCCAGAAAGTTGGAATATGATTATCCTAAACCCTTTAAGGGGATCTTACCATTAATCCATATTCCAACTTTCTGGAGTTCCCTTTAAGGGCTTTTGCTTCAAGGTGCAGTGGCCCTTGCTCCACATGAGCTGCAGGTAGGGTTTTGGTGCATGTTCCAGTGTGAGGGGTAAAATATTGGTGCTACGATGTAGACGGGCCATGAGACGCACAGTAGAGAATTCGGAGACATAAACGTATGGATATGTAGAGACCAGAAGGGGGAGATATCATAGCACGGAGCAAAGCAGCTGGGGGCTGAGACAGGAGGGCGGTTTTGTTGGAAGAAGCTGCTTTGGAAGAGCAACATGCCCGATGCTACCACATCGGGTGTGGGGCCTGGAACACATTTATCGTTCAGAGTCTGAGTGTGTAATACAAGGGCAAGTAAACCCTGAACCCTAAACCCTGGCCGTCGGCATGTGACAAAGTCTCCTCCAGGCTATGTGAGCACACGGCGCCCATCTGCGTCCTGTGGAGGAAGATGTAGAACAGGGCTTTTAGGGTTTAGACTTCGGGGTTTAGGTTTAGGGTTTAGGATTTAGGACAAGCGTGACAAGCATTGTCGCAGCAGTGACTAGAATAGGAGATATTCGCACTAAGTACTAAGTGTTCGGACCGCTGTATTTTCTGGTTTTGCCTTGGGGACAAATGCAGGGGCAAGGATCTGGAGCCACCTGGTTCAACAGCACTACGAACGAATCATCCTAAACCCAGAAGCCTAAACCCCAAACCCTATAAACCTCATAAAACCTATAAGCCCTATAAACCCTATGAACCCTATAAACCCTATAAACACTATAAACCCTAGGCCCTTGACCCTCAACCCCAGGCCGAAGCCCAAACTTCGGTTTCAGAATATTCACTTGGCTGCTCTTTAATGCCCCAATAAAAGTTTAAATTTTAGCTCCTTTTAATATAAAATATAAGGACCCCAAAACCTATAAAGTTATAAAGTTGTAGTAAAGTACCACCTAGTTCAGTCCTACTCAGGTGTCAAGTTCCCAGAACCAGAAACCCTCCACGGTACACACGAAGCCCTACACCCCAAAACCGAAATCCCCGATCCTAACACCAAAATCAAAATCCTTCATCCTCCTTCCTACAGCCTAAACAGGTCCTGAACGCTCCACCCTGTGCCTTTAACCGCATGGTATGAACCCCGAGCCCAGTCCCAACGAAGAGAGTCTTGTCATGAAAGGCCAGCGCCGTCGCCTCAGGTTACAGAGCTGCTTCTCGTGTGCTCTAGTATGTAGGACTGTTGTATGGGCTGTCATGTAGGGATTTGGAGGGTGTTGTGAAGTGTTTCTGGCTTGCTTTTATGTTGCATTTACATTGCTTATGGTGTTTCTTGAAACTATAGGCGTCCAGAGGGCATCCCTCGTTCGCGGTCTTGTATGAAGGATCCTGCTACTTCGAAGATGTTGTAGATCCGGCTCAAGGTGTAGGGCTACTTGTTGAAACTCCCGTGCCTTGTTCGGGCAGAGTCTATGGTCGGATCAACAAGTAACGGCTTCCTTCGGGTCTTCTTTACACGTATCGTCCCCCGAAACCCTTTCTGTTTTCTTGTTCGTTGGCTTACTGTTGCTATTAAAACGATCGTTATAACTACATAATATGCTTTCTTTTATGTTAATTACGACTGTTTGTCTTATTGTCATAACTCTTGCGATTTAGATGTCTATTCAGACTATTACCTGTGTAATATTACTGGTATTCTTATTCGTAGCATACTTTATAAAGTTTGTCAGTGTTGTGGCCATTACTACGTACCCATACATTTCACCAGACCGTCAGACACATCCATCATCTCGTGCCGACATTTCCTGTGTTGCAGGGTTGGATTTGGGACTTAGAGTCCTTGACGCCGTCCAAGTTGATGTCGTTGCTGTTCCTGACGGGGTCGGTGTGGCGGCGAGTGTAGATGTCGCTGATCAATGCGTCGCAGACGCCTTTGCGTAACCCGCGCATGAGACGGGTATGCGCTCACGGGACGATGTCGGCGGAGTAGACGGAGATGGAGGCGTTCTTAACCAGCCATTGGATGCGCCAGCCCGGACAGAGGCCGCGGCAGTGCAAGCTGATGCTGCTTTTGCCGATGTTGACGAGGCAGCTGAATCATGCGCTTCATATGAATCCAAGCTTTCAGCTTCCTTTCGAACGGATTCACAAGGGTTCTATAACAAGACTGCCTTAGTGATTACAATGGGGTCTTGGGGTGTATTCTACTATAACCATACATGTATATACATATATATATATATATATACAGATACATATTATATGCATACATATATATATATATATATATATATGTTTCATATGTTTGCCGTTACATCGTCTATGTCCTTACATAAGCACAATGGCAAGACTAGCTACACTGTAACCCTCTAATTTTTATTGACCTCTAATCACGCCGGGTGTAGGTGCTTCAGGCATGGAAGACGACAGCTTGGGCCAGGAATCAGAGGTAAAGAGACCTTGTAGTAGGGTTTAGGGTTTGGGATTTTCGGGTTTAGGTTTTCTTACTTGTCCTAAGCCTCGTAATCATTCACACCCTAATGCACTAAGCCTGTCCCTCACATCCAAGCTTTCTGTCAAATGCAGGGCTTGTAACAAATTACAAAGGGGGCTCGGGGTCTGTTGCACCATAACCATTCTGTCCTAGAAAGGGAATTTGCGAATTTTTCCTGTTGCTACAATAGATCTGCGCTCACATCCACGAACAGGGCTAGTTACTTATTCACCCGTTACTTACGTAACAAGCCTGCAAGCACAACGGGCTGAAGATAATGTTCTACATCTATCCAGGCAGCTATACTTATTGAGCGAATCCTTAAACCCTCAACCCCCTCAAGCCTTCCTGAGAAGTGCTGTGGGGCCTCCGTGATAAGGGCCCTCTTTTTGGCTGTTTTCAAAGGATGCTCCAAATCGATGTAATAATAGTGCAGTAGGGTCTGTGCTTAGGACGTTCATGTGCAAGACTCACCCTGTATAACTTTTCTTCTTCCGCGCTCGGAGTGACAAACGCCGGGCGCCACCGGGAGCTGGATCACCTGTCCGTGCGGAAAACCCGGGAGTGACTTAAGGCCATCCCTGGGAAGTCTTCCAAGAAGGCAGGGCCACAGGCACTAGTCACAGATTTAACGGTGGTTTGATCCTGGAGATAATATTCACCTGATGCAGATTCGTGAACTATGACCCTTTTGCCGACTGGACATCCAAAAACCCCGACTGTTGCATCTTTGCAATCTCGTTCCCGCTCTATTAGAATCAAGGGACCCCGACGATCATTGTATTATTAATTAATTCTTAAACTTATTTCTAAATTTTCTGTATTATTACTATTGTTATTATCGTCGTTTTTCAAATTTCTTGAAATTGTTACAAGCATGGGTCTGACCCTAGGTCGTAGCCTATTACTGAGTCTGACAAATGCTCTGGCCTGCTTGGCGTCGACTCCGGGGAAGTGTCACCCAGTCGAAGAAGGTAGCCTGCAACGGTACCATTGTTGAACAGAACTAAAGCCCTACCCCCATGGTTTAAGCTTTAAGGTTTAATTAGGGCTTATGGAGCTTGAAAGTGCAGACGCGGCTGTTTTCCGGGCTAATGCTTTCACTTATGAGGTGGAGGACGGCAAGCGTGGTTTAGGGTGTTTAGGGGGCGTCCCATTTTTGATTCAGGGCTTGGTGGTCGGCTAGGGATCAACATCTTGGGCTTTGTTTGGCTACTACTTTGCCCCGGACCCTTACTACAAAACAGACCACTCAATACTTAACTTAGAACCCGAAGACCAAACCCCAACACCCCGAAACCGAAATTCTGCACACCTGAACCCGCAAATGAGTTTCGGAACCCCGCCTAACAGTCTGACTTAAACACGGCTTTGGGCTCAAGGTTGGCTATTTTCCAGAGGTGGATCTAGCACTAGAGTCTAGTACGTCCGTTGCGATTCCTAAACACTGTTCCGGGCTCCTAATTCCTACCTTAAAGCCTAAGCCCTTAGCCCTGACAAGTCATGCCATCTGCATCCGCCCCCTTGAGTTCGGCTGGGGTCTGCCGTGATGAGATCTCTGCCAATGCTGAGGGGGCGACACCAGGCTGGTATCGAGTTCAACCCCACTGAGCACAGTTGAAGAAGTCCTTCGCCAAGAAAGCCTGGATGATATGCCCGCAGGCTGCCTTCTCAAGCTTGTCATCGTGGCATCCGAATGCCGTACGGAAGGGCCGTACCCCCACCCAGGGGTGCCTTGTCCGCATGGGAGCGATGAACTTCATCCGCCAAGACGATGGTTTTCTCCCAGAGGTCGAGGACTGAGGCGGAAAGTTCCCCACTCTCGACAATGGCCGAGGCTACTAAGCAGCCTGGCTGCGAAGGTCTCGCCTTCGATTTGTGACGTACGTCACTGTCAGAAGCTTAAACTTAAACCCTCAATTCTTACAGTCGAAACCTCACCGATTTTCGCCGCAACCCTGGAAATGGAAACTTTAACCCAATGTGCAAACTCAACAATACATCGAGAATCCGAAATATCCAACTACCTGTTACACTCCCCAACATATCCTGATCAGTATCTTCTGATAGCTGCCTGTTTCCCGACCCGCAAACGTAGGCTTCAAAATCACCTGTTACCATGGCGCGGCTGCACAAAACCACAAGTGCCCTAAGGCTTACCCCGCAAGACGCTGTTTAGGGTTTAAATTTATGGTTTAGGGTTTAAGGTGAACCGCAAGCCTACATCCCTCCGCTCAGCCTGACCTGCATCCGAGAACCTAGAACCCTAAGCCGACCTAATAAGCCCAGATAAGGCGGGAAAACCCAACCCTCCCTAAGCTCTGCATCGCCTTAACCGCAAATACCCAATAAAAACAAAGATCCTCAAGCCGTCACAGCGCAAGCGAAATGGCCTTCAACCCAGCGTCTACTCAAGTCGTTGACTCCAAATTCGTGTCCCGACCTGCCGCATTCATCAACCCCTCGGCTCAAGTCTCAAAACGCTCCCGAATCCCTCGACCCGAACTCATCACCAAATCCTTAAACAGTTCATTTAAACAAGATGACATCATCATGAAATCACATCCTTCCCAGTCTTAGGGTTTAGGGTTTAGGATTATTGAAATTATGCACGGAACCTGACGTTGACCTTCCACTGGCCTGTGTCATCACCGTGTCCGCAGCAGAATCCTGGCACAATGTCAGTGACAATAGTTGGGAAACCAGAGTCTCTGGGCAAGGGCTGCAGGTTGAGCGGGTGTTGGCACCGAAGCGGGAATGTTTATCACCGGTAACTGTGGGAATCTCCAAATTAAGGACCGAAACCCGCATCCTGAATACCGAACCCGAGATGCTGCATACGAGAACTTCTATCCCTGACACTTGCCGGCACAAGACTACCAGCAAATCCCTGAACCAAAGACCCACAGAAGTCATTTTGCACCGGTGGCGCACCAGGTGATCTGATCAGACCGTCTGTCTTCCATCACCCCAAGGATCGGCAAATCAGGTGTCTGTCAACCTTGCGTATTTTTCCTGCTGCCCTTACACTCTTAGTCTTCGTCATTGATTTATGAGGAGGCATGAACACAACTCCTACACACATGTGTACGCAAGGTTGACCGAATCCTCAGCCTGCATCCGTGATGCCTTGAACAACCAACCACTCCGATAGATCACCCTTCCGGCGAAATTTATTAAATAACTAAGCTCATGTGACAATGACACGTTCAAGGCAAATGCCCCAAGAATACCTTCACTCTCACGGAAGGCGTCAGCACCACCTCAGTGCCGCCATTCTCAGCAAACACTACTTGGAAAAGAAGCACACGGTCACCCACAACATAGAAGCCAAGCCACGTAGTAAGCATGGTCAGAAACTGTTCGTACTTCAAGACCTTGCCGCGAAGTTTGGCCTCCTTGCTGTCACCCTTGTAGTCTGGACCGACCACGCACCAAGCTGTGGCTTTTGTCCTTGCTGCAAGTGAAACAGAAGCATGTGCAGATCGATTAATAAACTACCGAAACATCCAAACATCAGGTTTCAGAACACACATATCCGAGCAGCAACTCTTCTCGCCGTGGTCGGATCACCCAGTTCCGGTGTCCAGCAGGGTGACTTTCTATGATGGCCAACACCTTGAGCAACGGCACACGGTAGCAGAAGCTCTCGTCAAAGTAAACTTGACGGCTCACACTCAATGCTGGTGTCAGCCGTAAC